TTTATTTTTTAAATTAGATTTTTGTCATAGGGCACATGTGCTTGCTGGAGAGACAGAGGGACACAAAGACAGGGAAAGTGACTGTGGGGATGGCCACACTACAATACCTTCTCCTCCATTCTCCTCTTGAGATTTTGGGCATGCATGTATATGTGCCAAGCATGATTTTCAAACTGCTGGGTTTGGGACCCAAATCAAGGTTGGCTATGCGAGAGTCCAGCATTGTAACTACAATGCCACCTGCTAGTGGGGGCTTTTTTCCCTCCTGTCTTATCTTTTTTTGAATATTTTTAAAAAGGAGGGAATATATTCATATAAATGTTGTTTGCTTCAGTACTTGTAAACAATTGAATGTCAAAACCCTTAGTTTCTGCTTTTAGAGCTAGGTTTTATTTTTTAGGAAACCTTTTTCTCTCACTTGATTTTGTTTACCTTATTTCCTTAGACCATCACTGATCCAAAAATTCAACAAAAATTGTTTTTTTCTTTTCTCGACACCCCTTTAGAGGTGGAACAAGGGTCACCGGGGGGTATTTTGGTGAGTTGATAAATGTGCAAGCATGAAAGAACTAAATTATGCTTCTTCAGAGTTAATTTACAATCTGTTAACTCTAGTGTGAGTGCTCCATAAAATGTACCTGAATTGCTACTGTTACAAGAAAAGGAATGGATTGGATGAAACATGGACTTGAATGTTAATTCTTTCTTTTTCCTTGTAATTTTATGTTTTAGAGAGTGAAAATACTTGAATGAGATCATCAATAAAAATAACTTCTGGAAATCTTACAGAAATACTGTTTGACTCATACAAAAATGATTATATTATTACTCTGGGTTAATTATGAAGCAGAGAATATATTTTTAAATCACTGATTTCTAAAATAAAAAGGAATAAAAACAGAATTTATAAAATTAAAATTTTATTTTACAAGTCTATACCTAATGATCATTTGATTTTTTTCATATTGAAGACATTTTGCAAAGCTTCTAAGGTTAAATAGATATTTGCTGCAGACCAATTAGTCATTAATTTCTAAAATAAGACTGTGATGTGTAATGAAATTTGTTCTATGCTTTCATTTTTTTTTGAGATTATATCTACTCATATAGATTTCTTTCTTTCTCCTTGATAGGCAATATAGTGTTAGAGAGACCTAAGTGATCTGATATCTAGAATACTTGGATATTTGGAGCATGGAGGGGGACAGGTAACAGTGAAGGAATGGGCTATGGTTGGCATAGCTACAGAAAAGTATGCTTTTAGACATTTGAGTTTTTAAAAAAATTCAGTTAAGGTATAATCAAGGCAACAAATGAAAGATACATGACAAATCAACAATTAGATTGAAATTATTTAGGTGAATAGAAATGTTATCATGTATACTGTAATCCTAATGAACATATATGGTTTAACCAATTTGTGAAATAACCTGCTACACAATAGAATTTAGATAATTTTATAATGAACATGTTCTATTTTTCTTTTTCTTTTCTTTTCTTTTTTTTTTTTTTTACATTTTTTCATCTGTCAAATATTTCTTCCCCTTGTACCTCACACCCAGTAGAAAATATTCTCCCAGTAGAGAATATTTTCTATAAAAGTGAAAGTGACTAAAATTTTTAAAAATTGATTTATTCAGTATCTTCAAAAGATACTTTGGAGGGTGGTGTTTATAGAAATTAAAAGTAATGGCATAACTGTATAACTTAAAGTGATTTAAAGGAGGATATGATACTGCATTTTGTTTGATTGTCTGGAAGCTTTTAAAATGAGAAGTGCTTGTAAGAATATAAGAAAGACCTAAAATAAGAGAGGGGATAGATTACATGGATGTATTCTTTTTATAGCAGTTATCTTTATATTATACAAATACATTTAGGTTAATCTTTTGTGTTGCTTATCTATTCATACTTATCTCTCAAAACAATCTAGCAAACAATAAGGAGAAGGAAAAGACAAGTTAGCTAGTGACCACTATCTTATTTACCTTCTGAGAGAAGAATTTCTTCTGCCTATATTTTCATCACTCCCTGTCAAAGTAGAGTCTCTTTTGCAATCTTGCTTGAAGAATTGTTCTTCCTTTTTCTGCTCCAGGGACTCTGAGCCCATGAAAACAGAACATATTGACTTAGTCCTCAGGGGAGATTTTCAAGCCCTAACAAGTTGGTTTAGCACTTACTGATGAGGCTTTACCCTGTGGCCAGATGGGGCCACCAGATATGTTATTCATGGGTCCTCCTTCCTGATGACATTTTGTGTATGTTGTGACTTTTTTTTGTGGGGATTTTTCGTTTGTTTGTTTGATTATGACTGTTTTGTGAAGCAAAGAGACAGTAAAACAAACAAACCAGCCAACCCAAAACTTTTACAGATGAACTCATTTTTGTACTTGCTGTTGTTTTTCACAGGAAGGCTTTCATCCTTTTTAGAGCTATAGTATTTCCTTATTGTCTGCTATAGTATTTCATCCTTTTCTTAGAGTTATAGTATTTCCTTATTGTCTGCTTCCCCTAAGATTTGTCCCTTCTTTCTCATGTTCTTCAGTTTGCCTGCAATACCCTTCTTATTGCTAACCAAACTTTACTCATCCTTTGAGTTTCCCCCTATCCTGAAGATAGGGGTGTGCAGGAGGAGAAGACCACCAGAAGGAGGGAATAGACAAAAGGCTGCAGCCACTCTTAGCTTGGGAAAGCATGTCTAAGATATTGTGGCACTTGGGCCGGGGGTTCTGGGAAGGGATATCTGCTAAAAGCGTAGTGCCTGTGAGCATCCGAAAGCCCTTGCTCCATTCCTCCCAGAAATGGAGGGCACATCATTCATTCCTCATCTCACATTTAGCAAATGTTTGTGGTGCGTCCCTAATGTGTCAGGCATGTGTTAGAAATCAGAGACACAGCTATGGATTAGATACAAAAGGTCCCTGTCCTAACGGAGTTTGTGGACTAATGGATAAACACCCAATATAATAGGCAAATACATTTAAGAGTGACTGGGTCTCTGAATTGGCCAGTGCCAGGTTCCATGAGAGTGCATAGGAGGCACTCCTACCTCTGATTTGGGGGAGGATGGTAGTCAGAGAAGTCCTCCTGGAGGAAGTGATATATAAGTTGATATGGAAAGACAGCTAGGAGTTAGTCTGGTGAAAGTGTGGACATGGAGTTAGATGGTTGCAAGCACGGGGAAGAGCATGGAAGTTAAATAGAATATTTCTGGAGTGTAAACATAAGGAGGTCCAGGAAGCTTGGAGGCCATTAAGGAGAGTGATGAGAAATCAGACTAGAAAGATGAGCAGGGATGTGTTGCTGAAGGTCTTGAAGTCACATTAGACTTTGATCTTTTTCCCTAAGGCAAATAGGAGGTGTTTGGAGGAGGGTTTTAGCAGGGATTTGAAAGGATGCCATCCTCTCCTCCTTTCCAATCTTTATTTTTGTTTAATCACTTCTTTCATGTGTGTGTGTGAGAGAGAAAAGGACATAGATACCTTCAATAAGGTCCTTAAGACCATGATCTACTCCCATCCCCAGCCAGCCCTGAATCATGAGTACATGTGCTCCTGGGATGCCCTGGAAGGCCTCCAGACATTCTCCCATGTGGGCCAGCTTCACACAGCCTGATCCATCCCTGCCATTTCCTGTTTATTAAGATCACTCTGGTATTGATGTGGACACTGGTATGAAGGTGGCCAAGGTGGTCGGGAGGAAGAAAGATCTGTCAGGAGGAATATACGGGAAAAGCAGTCTGATGAGCAGGCACTTCTTAAAGGCAACCCACTGCCTGGGGCTGGGCTAGAGGTCATAGTGAGGAGGGGGTAAGAGAGATGGTCTTTAGTAGCCTTTGTAGGGGTTGGTAAATGTGTGGAGGGACAAATCGGGGAGGTACTGACGGGTTATATTTGAAGTCCTAGACTTGCTATTGGCAGTACCTGGCAGTAGCCCTCCTATTTCTTGTTTGGATACATCCATTTTATTAATAGTAATCCAGCCAGTAGAAAACCAATGAGTCTTACAAAGTAACAGTGGCCCTATTTGATAGACACATCGCAGGAAGCCCGATAGGGAGAAATACTGATGGTTTCATGCTTGTTAGACGTTGGGGACTTTATAGTACAACAGTGGACATTGATGAACTTCCTCTGCAATCTCTTTCCTTGTAACCACTCAGCCACACATATTGTTCTTCCCCTTCTCTGGTCTCCATATGACTGACAAACTTCTTTATGCTTGTTGACTGTGTCTTGCCATACTACTTTTCTGAGCAGCAAGCAAATAGTTGTTTCTCCTTCTATCCTAAAGAACATGCATTCATTGCCTTTGCCTACCCTGCTATGTGTTTGCAAAGATGCCTGGGTTCATTCCGGTGGCCTTTGAGTTCAGACTGAATTCATTGTTCACTCCTTTATTCATTCTAAATCTTTAACAGAGTTTTTCATATCAAGGCTATTAGACTACATATAGAGAAAAAGTGAAATATAATAATAACATTATTCTGGCTTTTGGTTGGCTACCTGGATGAGGCTATCCACAGGAGAATAAATTGAGGAAAATATTTTGGACTGTGTTATCTAAAGCCTGGATAAATAATTTTCTCTCACAAATGGCTACCGTGGTTCAGTAGTGATCCTCAGTTCCAGCTGTGTAAAGAAATCATTCATGACACTAGAAGAAAAGGCGAATTCTGAAACCTCACTCTTGAGATATTCTGACTTACAGGTTTGAGATATATTAGAAAATTTGACTTTATTTTAATACCTAATTGACTTGTGCTTGCCTGAGCTGCCCCAGATAGCTTTTGTAATAGAAATAAATTATTTTTGCTGAGAATTATTCTTATCTGGTTAGGTTTATAACCTGATACATTCAATCTATTGTTCTTTATTGTGTCAGTGTCTAGCTAAGTCACCTAGAGTTGTCTAGAAAGAAAGTTAAAGGATGTAAATATAGGTTATTGAGCATTTTCAAATATTCATGTTGTAAATTTCTGCTGTTTATTTTTCATATAGACCAAGTGTTAAGACCTGGTGAAAGACAAGTAAAATGTTCTGCAGTAAAAAGAAATCACTTGGTAAGTATTGAGTTTTTCAGATGACATAAACTGGTTTTTAAAAAATATTATTTATTTAGTTAGTGTTAAGTTAGAGTTTAAGGTTAGGGTTGAAACTGATATTATTTGTAAATATTATTTTAATTTATTAAAGGTGTTTAATTTACGTACAAAACCCACACAGGTCTTACATGTTCAGTTTAGAGAACTATTGACAACTTTATACAACTACCAAGGATGTTTGAAAGAGGATGTAGAATATTTCTATTACCTCAGAAAGTTCCCTTCTAGCCTTATTTATCCTCTTGCATTATTGACAATCATCTGATTTCTATCAGATTAGTTTTGTCTACTTTTTTTTTAAAGAGATTTTGCCTTAGGGTATGTGTGCTTGCTTCAAAGGTTTGTCTTCCTTTGAAATGAATGTACATGAAGTTATACGGTATGTATTTTTGTCTTGCTTTGCTCAGTGTAAAATTTTTGACATATACCTATATGGCTACCTGAATCAATATTTAGTTCTTCATTTTTTATTTCAAAGCAGAGTTCCATTGTGTGAATATATGAATATTTAAAACAGTTCATACAGTCAAATAATTTTGGTCTTGTGAGCAGGAAATGCACTTGCTTTTTTATGGTTGAGTGATCAGTCTACTGAATAGTATTAATAATATTCTAGTTTCTTTTTTTCTTTATCTGAAACTTTTTAAAAATTAATTAATTTACATCCATTCCCTAAGCATCGTCACAGCATACAAAATGTGATTTTCCATCCAGATTATACTGCATAGTGGCTTAATCATCCATGTTATCATCAATAAATTTCCATTTCTAGTTTCTAAAATCTCTTGAAATATATGTGTGTGTGTGTCTCTATATATATTTTCACCCCTATTTCTGACCCTCTGCCCTTACTCACCCTCCTCCCACACTAACTCTGGTGTTTACAGTTGTTTTCCATTCCTTTTCATCCACATTTTAAAAAATAATCTAACTACTTTCGATAGCAAGTTCAGCTGGTAATTTCAAGAAAAGCAGTTTTAACTTTAATAAATCGAACAAATGCTAAGGAACTTCGCTTACAACTTAAAGCCAGGAAACAAGTTAGGATTCTATTCAAATAATAAGTACATGAATCTATCGACGGCTCAAGACAGGACAAAAATCCTTAAAACCAGAAAACAAAGCCTAGACGAAAATCAGCAATGTTTCAGTCAAAAGTCGTAAAATGCTATTTCACAGTTCAGTCTCATATATTTAATCTATCTTCTGCTGTAGTTTGATCTTCCTGATTAAGTTCTGAGATATAATATTCAACGTCAGACTTGTCCCTATGATTAAGTTGGCTATTTTCTTAGTTTTTGAACTCTTATTTCTGTGTGTCTGTATTTAATTTTCCTGGTATAACACTCCCTTGAGAACTTCTTGGAGATCTGGTCTGGTGTTGGTAAATTCTTTCAGGTTTTGTTTATCTGAGAATGCTCTTGTCCTTTCTTCCCATATGAAAGAAAATCTTGCTGGGTACAGTATTCTTGGTTGAAATTGCTTTTCCCTTAGCACTTTGAATGCATTTCCCCATTCTTTCCTAGCTCGCATTGTTTCTGATGAGAGGTCTGCTGTTAGACTGATGGAATATCCATTGTAGGTAACTTGCTGTTTCTCTCTTGCCAATCTTAGTATCTTTGTGGTTTTGGTCAATCTGGCTATAATGTGTCTTAGAGAAGATCTTCTTGGGTTGATTCTATTTTGGGATCCTTTGTATTTCTTGGGACTGGATCTTTGAGTGCCTCTCTTGGAAAGTTTTTTTTGCAGGATTTCATGGGATAGATTATCAATGCCCTTATTAGTCTCTTTGCCTTCTGGGATGCCAATTATCCGGATGTTTGGGCATTTGATGGTATCTATCTTGTATATTATTCTCATTTTTTGGGGGGCAATTTTCTCAGTCTATGTGGTGGACTTCTCTAGGCCAGCAATTTTCTCTTCTACACATCTGAGATTCTATTTTCTGTATGATCTAGTTTGCTTTTATTACTTTCAAGAGAGTTTTTGACTTCCTATATTATAGCCTTCATCTCTAACAGATCCATTTGATTCTTTTTTAAAGTGTGTAATTCCTCTTTTAGATCTTGCAAGAATTTTTTCACCTCTTGGAACTTGTCAGCTCCTTTCTCCTGTCTCTTCCACAGTTCACTGTCTCTCTTCTCTTCCATCTCTATTAGCTTCATCATTATGAATATTCTAAATTATTTATGAGACATTTCCATGATTTCCATTGAACTGTTTGTGGATGATGAGAAGTTATTCTTTTCCCTTGGGGGAGAGGTCTTTTCTTGCTTTCCCATATTTCTTATGGCACTGTGGTGATTTCTAGTCATCTGATGGATGTTGTGTTTCTTTGTAATTCTTGAAGTTCAATCTGAGCGTTCAGGAGAGGGCAGAAGGAGGTGATCTGAAATCTCTTTGCTGTTCTGTTTTTATCTCTTTGTGCAGCAGATTCATTGGATATTGAGGAGTATGTTAACCCTAATAGTATTTGGATGTTTGGCTATGGCTCCCTTAGATCTGTCTAGAAACACGGTGAATGGAATTTGAGGAGTAGAGTGATGTGATAAAAGAAAAAGAAAGAAAAGAGAGAAAAAATACAAAGAAGCAGAGAGAAAAAGAAGGAAATAAATGAAAAAACAACCAAAAATGTATTTATTTTTTAAAAAAGCAAAAAATAAAAACTGTGCAGTGCTTGAGCTCACTAGTTCTCAGGAGCAGTGGAGGAATCTTCTTCTGAAGGCCTGTCCCTTGCCTCTCCACTCAAGTTTGTGGGCTGGAGGCTGAATTATCAGTAGAAAATCTTCATTTCTCTTTTTTCCCTGAAGTCACTAGTTCTCAGGAGCCATGGAGGAGTCTTCTTCTGAAGGCCTGCCCCTTGCCTCTCCTGGATATGGGCTATTCTACTTTCTTAAGTATAACATCCAGATATTTTCTTCTTTCTCTAGTAAGTCAGTGACCAGCTGTTATGTAATTTTTTCTTTAGTGAACATGTATTTAACATATTACTATTACTAGTATTTATTTTGACCATAGACACTTTTTTTTTTTTGAGAGGTTTTTGCTATAGGGTGTTTGTACTCACCAGAAAGACAGAAAGCAAGAAATTGCCCCCCAGGGGGGATGGCCAAGTCTCAACCCCATCTCCTCCACTCTCTTCTTGGGATCTTGGGCATGCACATGTGCCCGGTGTGAGTTTAAACCACTGGGTCTGGGACTTGAACCATGGTCGACTACATGGGAGTCCAACGACATAGCCATTATGCCAACTGCTGGTCTCCATTGACTCTTTAGAGACTAAAGACTTTATTAGAGTTTATTTAATGTCCTCTCCCTTCTTCCAGTAATGTCCCTGGAGGTGGTTAGCCTACTTCCATTATTTCACCATGTAATCTTTTCCCTTGTTAGACACTTACTCATTGTAACATTCAGCCTCACAAATGAACTGCGCTCTGACTCAATGTAGATTCCACCCACAGGACATTAGTTGTGCTCCCTGGTACCACACTTTCATATTCCCAATACCAATCTAGAGTCTAGAATTCTTGTCCTAATTTTCTTCTTTTTCAGGTGAAATGATTTGTTTATACCAAATCACTGGTATGATCTTAATAGTATAATATTAAACCAGCTTTAATGCAAACAGATTTCCAATAGGACCTAGTATTGCAAGCTTTTGATAGAACATGATCTAAGGTTCTCTAAAAAGTAATTTACATGTTTATATGAATGTATATATGTAAAAGTAGGCAATCTTATTTTTTATAAATGAAAATAAGAAAAAAAAAACCCACCGTAATGATGTATCCAGAGGTAAACACTTGAGATTGGTATGCGGCAGAACTTTAGAAGGATCCAGTCATAGTGACTTCTATAAATACATTTGTTTATTTATTAGCCAAATATGTACCCCCAATGGAATTATGCTGTACATTACTTTGAAACCTTTCCTTTTTTTTTTTTTAAAATAAAAGTAAGATAATCAAATGTTTGCATTTTCAACCATTAATATAGAATAACGTAAAGGTGACAGATATAATGAAGAAAAATGATGAAATTTTAAAATTTAAATTATTCAACATACATTTCCTCTAAACTTTCGGGGCCTGATCTGTGAACAGTTGTTTGGACATGTAGCATCAGGAAACTAACTTTAAACTTAATGCTGTGATCATAGGTAACTTTTAAGTCTTTGAACACTTCTTTATGATAATTTTTCTTATTTACATTTCCCTTGTTTATTTTTAAACCACTGAATTTTACAGAAAAATTCAAAGAATGATACAATAAGCAGCTCTATACCCTTCATCTTAATTCCACTATTGTTACTATTTTGCCACCTTTGCTTTCTTTCTTTTATTGCTTTCTTTTTTTCCTGTCTATGGAAACACATGCGTACTTATGTGCCCACACATTATTTTATTATTGAACCATCTGATAGCGAGTTGTAGATATCATGACACGTATCCTTAAATACTTCAAGACTGTCTTCCTACATAATCACAGTATCATTATCACACCCAAGAAATCTTACATTGATAAATAGCATACATTCCATTTTTTTTCAGTGAAAATACAAATTTTTTTTTTTACATTTTTTAAATACATTCAATCACATTATTTAACTTACAAGGTGATCATTTCAATATATGAACATTCCCCCCCCCCCCCCCCCCCCCCCGACCCGCAGTACACAAAAAACAACC